AGCACACTAAGGATTCTGTGAGGTACCCTGCCCCAGTAAATAAACAATGAGGAAGACACCCAGTGTGAACCATTGGCCTCTACATACTCATGCGCACATGTGTGGGTCCACCCACTGGAGCCTGGTTGACTTACTAAGAGTACCATCGTTGAAAGAGACTGATTCTCTACCTCTCAGCAGCCATTAGCTGCCAATACTTCCTCAGACTGGGTTAGGGTTTCTTATACACGTCCCCATGTCTATGCTGGGAATCTGTCTGACTTGAGCTTGCATGGGACTTATGCTGTCAGCATTGCTGTGAGTTCATATTAGTAACTGAACAGCTGTCTAGAAAACAGCTGTTTCCTTGTGGTCATCCACCACCTCTGGCTCTTACAATCTTTCTGCCCCCTCCTTCCACCGTGATCCCCAAGCCTTGGGAGTCAGAAGTTTTATATAGGTGACCTGTTATGAAGACCCTTATTTTTTTTTCAATAAAATATTTTTTTTTAATTAGAAGAAGCGTTTCATTACAACAGCATTAACCTATTCAATAACATTTTTCTGAGCTAGGGTACATCTCTTTCAAAATTGGCTGTACATTTTTAGGTTTACAGACGAATTATTATGCTTATATAATCTTTAACTCATTATAAACTCTATAAGACATAAAATTAAATGAGGTTCCAATGTTTAAAAAAGATCTCCACTTCGTTGTCAAAACACACAGTTTCATACAGAAAAATTCATTCCAAGGCAATTGACATTGAGACGTTTTCACATGCATTTCTAATCTCTATATACATGACTATCACTGGTCACAGTCGCCCACCTTCTGAGCTCCTCGGCATCTGAGCATGAATACAAACTCGTCAGATAGACAGACTTCCTCTCCCACTAGAGCCTCCATACTCTGCCATCGCTCCCACTGTCCACTGTGCTGTCAGCACCCCCATCCATTCCCCCCATCTGCCCTTCTGGTAAATCTAGTCAGCCAGAGGTCCCTGTTCCAGGAGGGTCAGCTGTTCCTCATCTACGGCAATCCATTGTCAGTATTCCTTTGGATAGAATTGGAGTCTGCTGTTCATTTTTCCAGTAGTATCTTGGAACTGTCTGGAAGAGCCTTTATCCATCCTGTCCAACAACTCGACTGAAGGTATCGCCTGTCTGGCTTTGCTGTTTGCTAAGTAGCTTTTAGTTACATATGTATCCTCTTATGAAATTATATTGGCCCCTTTAATCTTTGGTTATACTTCCCTTTTGGGTGTTTAAGGACATACAATTGGACCAGATAAACTGATTTGTTTTTACTCTTGAGGTCATTTGAGGATCTGTTCCTCAGGGGGAAGACCCTTATTTTATGCATGTTGGCCAGTCGTGAGTCGCTATGTTAATCCCATCAGCTGCATAAGGAAGTTTCTCTGCTGAGAGCTGAGAGATACATTAATCTATGGGTATAACAATAAGTCATTAGGAGTCAGTTTAATATTATATCTATAATAGAATAATAGGCTCTCCTCTATGGCTTGTGACCTTTCTAGCTTCAGGTTCCTAGGCCTGGCCTCCATCTTATGAAGCAGACCTTAAATCCAATTAGAAAGTGGTTGGTTATCCCCATGATATTTGTGCCACTATTGCACCAATGGGCATATCTTGCCAGGACAGTTGTAGCTTATAGGATTCACAACTGGATAAGGTTGATGATTAATTTTCTCTTCTGGTAGCATGTATAGCACCTTCCTGCACTATGAAAGCTAGACAGTAGAGATGAAGCTTTGTGGTCAAGACCAGCTTGATTTCTCCTTATTTGTTCTATAGCTCATGCATGTAGTGTCTTCAGCAATAAGGTCTTACCATGAAATTCTGGTGAGTAACCAAGAGCAGGGGCAATGACCAGTACTATGGGGCCTTTGGTCAATAGCTTCAAAGGAGAAGGCCTATTCCTGGCATTTGGGCTTTTACTAGAGGCAGTGTTCCCATGTCATAAGGTAACTCCTTTAATCTCTTTTTATAATGTATATGTGTATACTTTAAGATGATTCTATAGGGCTACATTTCTATATGACTTTTTCTTTTTTAACTTTTTGAAACTTTTATGTGTATGAGTGTATTGCCTGCAAGCATGTAAGTGCACCCATATCATGCAGTGCCCATGGAAGTCAGAAGAGGACATCAGATCCCCTAGAACTGGAGTTATGGGCAGTTATAACCTGCCATGTGGGTGCTGGGAACTGAACCTGGATCCTCTGCAAGAACAGCCAGTACTCTTAACTGCTGAGCCAACTCTCCAGCCCCCCTACATGGCTTTTTCTAAAGGCTTTTAGTCTTTTAATCCCTTCCCATCTCTCCAGTCCAACTCATCCCATTATTGTAGAAGCAAGCTGGTGTCCAGAGCAATAGCTCAGTGGATAAAATGCTTGCCATTAAAGTGTAAGAGTTGGAGTCTGGATCTCCAGAACCCACATAAAAGTCAAGCAAGCATGGTAGCCACCTGTAATCCCAGCACTCAAGAATTAGAGGTGGGGAAGCCTTGAGGCAAACTGGCTAGATAGACTAGCCAGAATTAGTGAGATCTGGGTTCGGTGAGAGACCCTGCCTCAGTATGGAAAGCAACTGAAAAGACATCCAACATCAACTTTGATCCTCCACATACACAGGCAGACATGTGCCCATGTACCATACATACACATATGCATACATTCACACACACACCACACATACATACTCAAAAAAAAAGCAAGTTGGACTTTGTTCTAAAAAGGACTGCCCCAACATAGTTTTCCAAGCTATGTTTCAAGAAACAGTAGTCTCTCAACACAGTCCTTGGAAGAAGGTCCAGAGTTAATAGAGTCTTGGAAACAGTGCTTGTTCTTTTCTTCTCTCAGAGTTTCATTATACATATTATTAAGTTAGAGTTTCTAGAAATTTTCTCTGGAAAGAAACCTGCTTAACTTTGTTGAAAGTTCTTTCCAGTTCACTTGTCTATGGATACTGCTTCCTCTTCGTGTTCTTCCTTTTAAAAGTCAAGTAACACATATAAACTTTGCATTAAGCTGCCTTAGATTCTTCCAAAATCTTGAAAGAAGGGAGAGTTCAATGGATGAGCCAGCCCTAGGGCAAGTTGGAAGACATCTGTACTGGACTTTGACTTCTGGGTTTTTTTTTTTTTTTTTTGGTCTTTTTGAGACAGGGTCTCCCTGTAGCCCCAGCTGTCCTGGACTTCTTTTTTTAAAAAAAATATTTTATTATTTTAATTTTAATTTTATGTGTATGAGTGTATTGCCTACATGTGTGTAAGTGTACCCATTCTGTGCATGCCTGCAGAGGCCAGAAGAGGGTATTAGGCCCCCTGGAACTGGAGTTGCAGATGGTTGTTAGCTGTCATGTGGGTCCTGGGAACCAAAATCAGGTCCTCTGCAAGAGCAGTCAGTGCTCTTAACCACTGAGCCATCACTCCAGCCTCAGATCTAGCCACTAGAGCTAGTTCTCAGGAGGCTCAGATTTGCTTGTTGGGGCAGGAAATGTAGAAAGTAGAGAGACTGGTGGGATTTCCAGTGCCACACTGTCTTCTCTAGATTGTCCCTAAAGCTCAGCAGGATGTTAAAGCAGCATAGAACACACATGTCCTACTTATCGGACTTAAAGTGTTCCATAGCCATGAGGACTGGACAAGAGTGAGTCTCTTGGACCAGTGCCCTGATTGCATGAAGGACATGGTGGACCAGAAGAAGAGCAGAGAATTTGGAGTCCAAAGAACACTGATCAGTAATGTTTAGGAAATGCTGGTTATTTATAGATACCTGGGAAAATTCTTAACCTCTCTGAACTTTAGCTTCCTTGTCTATCTCTCCACCATTTTGGCCAAGCATGGTGGCATACACCTTTAAAAGTCTCAGCACTTAGGAGGTAGAGGCAGGCAGATCTCTGTGAGCTCAAGGCCAGCTAGGGCTACATAATGAGACCCTGTCTAAAGAAAAAATAAAGTAGCATTGGAAGAAGCTAGGGGACAGCTTTTCTCAATTCCCTCATTTTATAGCTGAGGAAGATTAGAACCCAGAATACTAGAAATTTAACCAGAATATATGTGTGTGTGTGTGTGTGTGTGTGTGTGTGTGTGTGTGTGTGTGTATTGTGTGTGATCAGGATACTGAGGCAGAATCAGAACACAAAACTTCCCTAGTCAGTGCTTTCCTCTCCCCCTCTCCACTGGGTTCTATCTGAAAGGCTCTGTCTTTGTTTGTTTTAGTTTTTGAGGCAGGGTCTACAGCCCTAGCTGGCCTCTAATTTGCAGTATTCTTCCTGCCTCTGCCTCCCAGTGCTGGGATTACAGACATGTGCCACCATGCCCAACTGAAAGGCACTATCTTAACCTTGAGTTATACTCACACTTTTGACTAGGCACAATTGAGTCTTTCAAACTTTGATTCATGAAAATTTAACATTTCGATAGATTGTAGTAAGTTATCATTTGAAGCTTCTTGGTCTAATTACTTCAGGACACCCTGATCAGCCTATTGCTGCTTGAGATCCAGTAAGTGCAAACTGTGCTTGTTGACAGAGTAATCCTGTAGCAAGGAGCCCTCTTAGTCTGTGCTCCACCTGCCATTCCCAAGCTTACTTGACTCCAGAATGCATTTGTACCTCTTGAATGCTGATTGTAACAAATGTGCTGAGGAGGAAGTGCAGCTTTACCATCACTGTGGTAAAGGCTATGGAAACTGGCCTTGTTCAGTAAGTCATATTCCATCATGCAATTTTAACAGGACAGTTTCCAAGTCTTAGGACTTCAGGTAAATGTGGATCTGCTGGAACACATGGAGGCAATGCCTAGTAGGGTACATTTCTTTAAATGGACAGTCTTCTTTTAACCAAGGACCAGGATGGGAAGTAACGGAAGCCAAAGGAATGTGTTTAGATGCCTCTTTGGAGGAAAATACTCTATCAACAGTTTCCCTCCTTAAATTTTTTAAATTGTCATTTTCAAGCCTTTTAAAAAATGATTTTTGTTACTGTCATTTTAGGTATCCCCAAGCCCAGAGTTCCCCAACAAGCTGTGATGTGTCCTCAGGGCATGTGGAGATAACAGCTGGACACAATTCTGAGGTAAATGCATCGGTCTCTCTTCAGTGTCGTCCAAGTCCATGGGCATGGAGTCTGTCTGTGGCTGCTTGGCCAGGCCATCCAAACATGAAACTCTTAGTGATATTTTGAAGTCTTTGAGACAAAAGCTCAGCCTGCTTAAGAGCTTTGGTTCAGTAGAGAGACAGGAAGGTACAGCGAAGAGAGAATCAAAAGCCTGGAAATTTGCTGCTGAGTTAAATGCTAGCTGCTCCCCGAGGTGCTTTGCTGAGCACTTCACTCTGCAGATGGTGGAGCCTCTCTCTGAGAGAGGACCCAAGGTTCTCTGGTAGCACTTTGATATTGTGCTCGAATTCAATATGTGAAATGGAGGCGTCTCTCTGTGACTTGGAGCCCACAGCAGGCTTTGAAGTCTGATCCAATTTTTTGCTGCCTACTATTTGATGTTGAAAGGATGAAATGAAGAAAATGTACAGTTTTTGCCAGTAACTCTGCTGAGCATATGTAAGATTAAAAAACAAAATCCTTTGGATGATGTACTTAGAAATGTTAAGTAAATTAATACCTTCCTATAGGTTTCCTTGTTTCTTTCTTAAGGATAAAAATTAAGATAAGAATTAACACATTGTTTTTTTTTTCTTTTCTGGACTATAATTAATTGAAAAGGAGGATAGGTACAGAGAAAGATAAACGAATGAAGCAAGAGAAATCTCAGCTTGGCTCCTAATTGCTCCTAGAAGGGGCCTGTCACACAGTTCCATGCAAGATGGGAAGAGCATACAAATATCACCAATACAGTCAGGGTCCAGGGCCCCTTAGTTTAATGGTAGGTATGTCGTTAAAGCTGCTTCATCAGAGGATAAAAACATTGTTTCTTTTACTGGGTCTTTTGGAAGCTCTCAGTTGCTGGAACTGATGTGCCATCTTCTCAGACATGTCACACTGCCCCAGCTTATCGTGGACTGAGCTCCTTTGAAGCCCCTGGAAAACCTGGTAAGGATGGTGTTTTGAATATATGCTGATCAACCATTTGTATGTTGGTATACTTCGTACTGAATTCTTTGTGCAGGACTGTATAAAAGTCAAGACCCAATTAGATAGTAAGATGATGTAATATTAACAGGAAGTTCAGGTTTGGGAAACTGTAAAGGCTAGAAGCAGTACTTAAATTCAAAAGTAGCAGTTTTAAGCCTGGTGTGGTAGCACAATTGCAGCACTTGGGAGACAGAGGCAGAAGATATGTCAGGACTCGAGACCAGCCTTGGTTACACAGCAAGTTTGAGGCCAACCCAGGCTAAATGAAACTCTGTCTCAAAAAGCCAAAATACATATACATGTGCATACATGCATGCATGCATCCATACAAACGTGTATACGTAAATGATAACAGTTTGCCCCCTCCTCATGTACTGAAGATTTTATTCCTGAGGGAAGATAATATTAAAGGTCATACTTTCCCTGTAAGAACTTTAAATTATGAAACTGTTCCAACACTTCATTTTGTTAAAACAAAGATAAAGAGATTACCAAGTTTCAGCAGAGTTGATCATTCAAGGTCAAAAGCTTGGGCTTAGCAATGGACATGGACTTAAAGAATACTTCTACACTCTGGGTGCAAGGCCATTCTCTCAGCAAAAGATAGGCATCTTGACACTTGTCTTTGGAAGCCAGCTATTTCTGGTTTCTTTTCAAAGCTCCTTGCTGTAGAATATGGTAGAAGTCCATTTGAGGCTTAAGGGTAGCTATAATCAGAGCTGCTGGAAAATAAAACAACATGATTGTAGAAAGACTTACAAACATAGGATGCTCAGAAATATTCACATTCAAGGAAAGAAAGCTTCAATTTAAGAAATGGATGCTATACTTAATATCAACCTGTTTTATTTTTCTGAAAGGTGCAGTTATTTCTCAGCTGTTTCCAAAATTCTTTGCCTTTTTTTGTTTGTTTATTTGTTGGGTTTGTGTGTGTGTGTGTGTGTGTGTGTGTGTGTGTGTGTGTGTGTGTAAAACCTGCGGGATGTATATGTGTGTATAACCTGTATAACATGAAGAGGAAATGTGTTAAGAATGTGCTCTGTCCTCCAGTCCATATGGAACTTGAACCCTTAGAGACAAGAGAAGACAAGCCCACTGTAGCAAAACTTTCCATGTGGATAATGCAGTAAATGACAACAAACCGGTAGCGGCAGTGTTTCCTGACAGCCAGGTAGTAGTGTTCAGGAATTAGGTCAAAAAGTACAGAAATAGGAGTAAAAGAAGAGGGTCTATGGGAAAACAGTGTGGTAGAACAGAATCCATTATGCAAGAATTGGCCAATGTTTTTCTCTGTTTGAATAGACAATATCTATCTTTTAATTGGGGTGTTAAGCACATTTACATGTATTGGTTTTATCTGTTATCTTGTTGTTTCTATTTATCCCATCTGGTCTATATGCTGTTTTAGCATCCTATTTTTAAATATATGCAATTCCTGGGCTGTAGATACAGCTCATTCTGTAAAGTACTTGCCTCACAAGCATGAGGATCTTAGTTTGATGCCCAGGGTCCACATAAAAATACCATGCAAAGAAGGAGGCCGAGACAGGAGGATCCCTGGGGCTTGCTGGCAATGTCTAGCCTAATTGGTGAGCCCCAGATGAATGAGAGCTCACCTCATAGGAGATGGGTGGTGTTCCTAAGGATGACCGGTGGTCAGCTCACCCTCCCCATTTATTTAGCCCCAGCCCATGGAATGTTGTCACCAATATTCAGGGTGAATCCTCTCTTCAGCTGAACCTTTCTGGAAATGCTATCATAGACAAACCGTGTGCATCTCTCTCTCTCTCTCTCTCTCTCTCTCTCTCTCTCTCTCTCAACGTTGACTTTTTTGAGACAAATAGTTAATATTTATTGAGGAGTCACATTGTGCTGAACATTTTCATCTCTGCCAAAAGGTTATGAGAGAGAGAGAGAGAGAGAGAGAGAGAGAGAGAGAGAGAGAGA